TGCTATTTTTAATTGTTTAGCTTACACCTAAGAACGTTGACATTTTCGATTTATATGCTTAATATAAGTGATGGAAATGATGATTTCATGTAAAGTTATTTCTTTTTTATACGAGATTAACCAAATAATATGTTTATACTCTCGCAACATGTTGCTACAAAGTGTAATAGTTTTGTTCACCTAATGGTTGTTTTATCACCTGAAACTTATTGAGATAGATATAGAGTTCTGTGGCATAAAACATCAGGTGACTGTTTGTCCGTCCGTCCACCCAAGATGGTACAAAATGGCTTCATATGAGTCGGTCTCAAAATTGGACAATGGGCGTGACTCAACTCACCTTTAGGTGAAATTAAATCTTTTAGGAACTAATCGACCAATACTTTGGGTGTGTTCGAGCTGCTTAATAATTACTGCAATACTACAACCCTGTTACTAACTTGATACTCTGTTGCTGATGCTCAGCTCGTCCTCTGTTGCAATATTGCAGTAATTATTTCGCCCAGAACGTGTTGCTTAGAAACAAAGAAATTTTAACGTAAACAATTGCTGATGAAATGTTGGAAAAAAAATGTAAAATATTTTTAATAAAGAAGAAATCGGATTTATTTAAAAAATACTGCAAGAAAGAAAAGTCATTAAAGTGAAAAGAGTTCAGAATTATTGAATTGCCATCTAAGCACGCAATCAAAAGTTTTTTGTTGCGTTTGTTATGCTAGTGATGCGCAACAGATTGGCAATAAAATACTGGTAGAACGTGTGACGTTAGCAGTGTTGCCAGAATTTTTGCGTGGAACGTGATGCTTTTTCATCAACATGTGATGTATCTACTGAAAGTCAGCGAGCATCCTTTTCTGGTAATAGTATGTCGTGATGTCAAATATGGACTAATCGGATCAATACCACCTTATCCTTCATATACCTAATAAGAGAATTTCAATGGAAAATGTGTGAAATCGGTCAACGAATTTCCCTAGCTCTTATATTTATATTACATATAAAGATTTTCGTTATTCTAGTATAGGAATATGTTGATCAGTGTGTTAGTTATCTAATAAAACTGCATGGAAACATTCCCCAGTATACTTGAGTAATGTCATAAGCTAATGCAATCAGTCCAGCCTCAAATACACCCGATATAATGATTTCTCACTTTCCAACAAAATTTAAACTGTTTAAGGGTGCCTTCAGAGTAGACGCTGAGAGCCGAGCCGTGCGCAAAGTTGACGAATGCGAGAAATAAGCTTCAAAATTGTGTATATTTTCATACGAAATCGCACGTAAACGCAGAGTGAAAGCTGACCGAAACCGAGCGCAAAGCTGACCAATGCGAGAAAACAGATTTTGGAAAAAATTAGATTTTTTATATTTAGGTTCAAAGTTGAAATTAATGTAACTGGAATATACACTTTTAGCGAAATCAGTTTAGAAGCGTTTTTCGGCGCTCACTCGCTATATACATATATTCAAAAGACTTTTGCGGATAATGTCTTTATACAAATGGTGAAATTCGCCAAGTTAATCCTGTTTTGTATTTTTTGTGCTTTCCATACTTTTTTTTTAAATATTTACCACAGAGCTGGAAGTAAAATATTCTTTATCTGAGAAACCCATGTCTTATCTTTTCACTTTCATAAGCACAAAAAAAATTACCACATTAAAAGGCAATAAATGTGCGAGTATAATAACAATATTATGCACGAAATTCAGCGCTTAATCTCGCATCCACTCTGCGATACCTAAAATCGATCAACGCTGATCGAAATCAGCCTTACGCTCGGCTCGGTTTTCAGAGTCGCCTCTGCAGGCACCCTAAGTTGGTCAGTATATGTGATATTTCAATGATATGAAATAGATGTGTTTTCTTAAACATTATATGGTTTAACGCTGAATATGAATGAAATTGGTCTAGACTTGGTCGAAGTCCCTTATCTACAAGTATAATATATTGATTTCCGTTTTTATACTCTCGCAACCTGTTGCTACAGAGTATAATAGTTTTGTTCACCTAACGGTTGTTTGTATCACCTAAAACTAATCGAGTTAGATATAGGGTTATATATATATAAAATGACAGGATGAAAGAGACGTGTTGAAATCCGGGTGACTGTCTGTCCCGATCCGTCCGTCTCGTCTCTGTCCGTCCGTCCTTGCAAGCTCTAACTTGAGTTAAAGAGATATCTTTATGAAACTGTAGACATGTTTCATGGTACCTGAGACGGTTGGTATTGCAGATGGCGTAATCGGACCACTGCCACGCCCAAAACGCCATTAATCAAAAACAAATAACTTGCCATAACTAATACGCAATAAGATACAAGACTGTTATTTGGTACACAGGATCACATTAAGGGAGGCATCTGCAGTTAAAAATTTTTTAAAAATGGGCGTGGTCCCGCCTCTAATGATTTATATTATATCTCCTAAACCGCTAATGCTATAATAACAAAATTCAGCAATACGTAACCC